CAGATTGCTTCCCCGAAGAGGATTTAATACCTACCCTTCTCAAGCTATTCCAAAAAATTAGGGAATATGGAATGCTTCCTAACACATTCTATGAGGCCAACATCACTCTGATACCAAAGTCTGACGAGGACAACAAAAAAAGGAAAACTACAGGCCAATATTGCTGATGAACATAGACGCAAAAATCCTCAGCAACATATCGGCAACCCAAATACAGCAGTACATCAAAAAGATCATACATCATAACCAAGTGGGATTTATACCAGGGACACAGGGATGGTTCAACACCTGCAAATCAATCAATGTGATACACCACATTAACAAAATGAGGAGTGAAAACCACATGATCATCTCAGTGGATGCAGAGAAAGCATTTGACAAGATCCAACAGCCTTTTATGATAAAAAAAAAAAAAACCCCTCTTAACAAAATGGGGATAGAATGAAATTACCTCAATATAATAAAGGTCATATATGACAAACCCACAGCCAATATCATACTCAATGGGGAAAAACTGAACGCCATCCCTCTGAGAACAGGAACAAGACAAGGATGCCCATTATCACCACTCTTATTCAACATAGTACTGGAGGTTTTGGCCAGAGCAATTAGGCAAGAGAAAGCAATAAAAGGAATCCCAATACGTAGTGAAGAAGTGAAACTCTTGCTGTTTGCAGACAACATGATCTTATATATAGAAAACCCTAAAGAATCCATTGGAAAACTAATAGAAATTATTAACAACGTTAGTAAAGTTGCAGGGAACAAAACCAACTTACAAAAATCAGTTGCATTTCTATACCCTAGTAATGAACTTACAGAAAGAGAATTGAAGAATACAATTCCATTTACAATTGCAACAAAAAGAATAAATTATCTAGGAATAAATTTTACCAAGGAGGTGAAGGACTTATACCATGAAAACTATAAGACATTATTGAAAGAAATAGATGATGACATAAAGAGAAGGAAAGAGATTCCCTGCACATGGATTGGAAGAATAAACATAGTTAAAATGTCCATACTACCCAAAGCAATCTACAGATTCAATGCAATCTCAATCAGAATTCCAGTGACATTCTTCACAGAAATGGAACAAAGAATCCTAAAATTCATATGGGGCAACCAAAGACCCCGAATTGCTAAGGCAATCCTGAGAAAAAAGAACAAAGCTGGAGGCATCACGATCCCTTACTTCAAAATGTACTACAAAGCCACAGTAATCGAAACAGCATAGTACTGGTACAAAAACAGGCACACAGATCAATGGAACGGAACTGAAAGCCCAGAAATAAAACCGCACATCTACGGACAGCTAATCTTTGACAAAGGTGCCAAGAACATACAATGGAGAAAAGATAGTCTCTTCAATAAATGGTGTTGGGAAAATTGGATAGCCACATGCAAAAGAATGAATGTAGACCATTATCTCACACCATACACAAAAATAAACTCAAAATGGATCAAAGATTTGAAGATAAGTCCTGAAACCATAAAACTCCTGGAAGATAATATAGGTAGTACACTCTTTGACATTGAACTAAAAAGGATCTTTTCAAATATCATGTCTTCTCAGACAAGGGAAACAAAAGAAAAAATAAACAACTGAGACTTCATGAGACTAAAGAGCTTCTGCAAGGCAAAAGAAACTAGGATCAAAACAAAAAGACAACCCACCAATTGGGAGAAAATATTTGTAAATCATGTATCTGACAAAGGGTTAATCTCCATAATATATAAGGAACACATACAACTTAACAACAAAAAAACAAACAGCCAGATCAAAAAATGGGCAGACAATATGAACAGACATTATTCCAAAGAAGATATACAAATGGCCATTAAACAGATGAAAAGATGTTCAACATCACTAATCATCAGGGAAACGCAAATCAAAACTACACTAACATACCACCAGACACCTGTTAAAATGGCTATAATCACTAAGACTAAAAATAACAAATGTTGGACAGGGTGTGGAGAAAAGGGAACCCTCATGCACTGCTGGTGGGAATGCAAACTGGTGCAACAACTATGGAAAACAGTACGGAGATTCCTCAAAAAACTAAAAATAGAAATACCACATGACCCACCTATCCTAGTACTGTGTTTCTACCCAAACAAGGTGAAATCAACAATCCAAAGTAACATATGTACCCCTATGTTCATTTCAGGACTATTCACAATAGCCGAGACATAGAAACAATCCAAGTGGCCATCAACCGATGACTGGGTAAAGCAGAAGTGGTATGTATATACAATGGAATACTACTCAGCCATAAAAAAGACAAAATCATCCCATTTGCAACAACATGGATGGACTTAGAGGGAATTATGCTAAGCGAAATAAATCAGACTGAGAAAGAAAAACACCATGTGATTTCACTCATATGTGGAATATAAACAAACATATGGACAAAGAAATAGTTCAGTGGCAGTGGTTACCAGGGGAAGGAGGGTGGGGGGTGAGCACAGCCTGTGAAAGGGAACACTTATGTGGTGACAGACAAGAAATAATATACAACTGAAATTTCACAAGGCTGTAAACTATTATGAACTCAATAAAAAAACTTACTACAAAGATACAGTAATCAAAACAGTGTGGCATTGGCATAAGGGTGTACATAGAGATCAATGGAATAGAAATGAATCTGTAATAAACTCATATGACTATGATCAATTGATTTTAAATGAAGGTGTTAAGACCAGTCAATGGGGAAAGAACATCTTTTCAACAAATTGTGCTGGGACAACTGAATATCCATGACTATTCATGAAAAAAAAATGAAGTTGTACTCCTATCTCACACCATATACAAAAATTAACTAAAAATGTATCAAAGACCTAATGTAAGAGCACAAATTATAAAACTCTTAGAAGAAAACTGCAGTAAATTTTCAGGATCTTGGATTTGGTAATGATTTTTTAGATATGACACCAAAAGCACAGGCATCAAAGGAAAAAAATAGATAAATTGGAATTCGTCAAAAAACAAAATTTTGCACATCAAAGGACACTAACACGAAAGTGAAAAGACAACCCACAGAATGGGAGGAAATATTTTAAATCATATATAAGAGTCTCATATCTAGAATATATAAAGAACTTTTATAACACAACATTAAAAAGTCAAACAACCCAATTTAACAATGAGCAAAGGATTTGAATAGACATTTCTATCTATATGCAAATGGCCAATAAGCACATGAAAAGATGCTTAACATCATTAGTCATTAGAAAAATGCAAATCAAAACTACAATGAGATACCATTTCCCACACTCTAGGATGGCCATAATAAAAACAAAAACCCCCAAAACATAAAGTAACACGTGTTGGAAAGGATGTGGAGAAATTCAAACCCTCGTACACTGTTGGTGGGAATGTAAATTGGTACAGCTGCCATGGAAAACAGTTTGATGGTTCTTCAAAAAGTTCCACATAGAATTACTATGTGACCCAGTAATTCCACTGATAGCCAAGAGAATTAAAAACACTCACTTAAATTAAAACCTGTGCAAGAATGTTCACAGCACCATTAGTCATAATAGACAAAAAGTGGAAACAACCCACTGTCCCTTAACTGATCAATACAATATGTCCACAAAATGGAGTATTATTCAGCTACAAAAGGGGATAAAGTACTGATATGTGCTACAACATAGACGAACCTTGAAAACATGCTAAATGAAGGAAGCCAGACATAAAAGGCCACATGTTAAACTCCTTTCATATGAAATGTCCAGAATAGGCAAATCCAGAGAGACAGGAAGCAGATGAGTGTTTTTCAGGGACCGGGCAGAGGGGAATGAGGAGTCAGGGCTTAATGGGTACAGGGTTTCTTTTTGGTGTGATGGGGATATTCTGGAATTGGATAGTGGTGATAGTTGCACAACATTGTGAAGATACTAAAAGCCACTGAATTGTACATTTTAAAATAGTCAAAATGGTGAATTTCATATTATGTGAATTTTATGTTAATAAAAAAATAGTAAACCACAGAGGTGAATATTCCATAATATATAAATAATGATGAGATTGTATCTAGAAGATAAAGAGAACCTCTTCATATCTATAAGAAAAAGAAAGACAATCCAATGGGGTGGCGGGGAGATATGAACCGGCATTTTACAAAAGTGAATATCCAAGTGGCCAATATTCATATGAAAAGGTGTTCAACCTTAATGGTCATCAAGGAAAAAAGATGAAAAATGCAATGGGAACTGAAGTGCTCTTGGAAGAAAAAGATTCTACTAACTATTTCAAACCCTGTTATGGACTGAATTGTGTCTCTCCCAAATTCATGTTGAAGCCCTAATCCCCAGTGTGACTATTTGGAGACAGGGCCTTTAGAGAGGTAATTAAGTTTAAATGAGGTCATACGGATGGGGTCCTAATCCAATAGGACTGGTGTCCTTATAAGAAGAGAAAGAGACACCAGGAATGCATGCACACAGAGAAAAGGCCATGTGAGGACACAGCAAGAAGACAGCCACCTGCAAGTCAAGGAGAGAGGCCTTGGGAGAAACCAAACTTACTGACACCCTGATCTTTGACTTCCAGCCTTCAGAAGTGGGAGCAAATAAATTCTTGTTGTTTAAGCCAAAAAAACCCACAATGCTATGGGAACTGGATTTCATCAGTAGCCTATTTGGAGTCTATTTAAATGATGATATGGTTCTCTTCTTTGTTCAGTTGTTGGAATGAATCATCACCTTGAATTATGAAGACATGCCTTGCTTGTCTTGTTAGGGGGATTCTGTGTCAGTTATTAAGCTCTTGTCTTTCACAACTAAACCCACCACACTGTACTCTGCACTATTATGCTGAGCTGGACTCTGCAAACCACATCTCTCCTTTGACAGTGGGCACTCATTTTATAAAGTGTAATCAAAGTGCTCGCCAACCTTTGGAATGCCAGTTGTGGTATTGTTGTCATCTATTAGCTTCTATTGAGCAATCTATGGATCCACCTCACACGTGTTAGATTGGGAATTCTCACCTGGGAAGAAACCAGTCTGACAGCTTTAATTCTTCTGATTGAGTATCCACAGACCTATAGGAAAAATAATGCAGTCAGACTATATCTACTAGAGTTTGAGATAATCCAATGTCTATGAAATCATGGGCTGTTTTATAATAAGATGTAAAATGCAAAATAAGTATGAAGCATTAAGAAAAACGATGATAAACTTTGACGGTAGTGGTGTGGAAAATTCATGATTCCCAGCCTCAACTTAACTCTCTGTGCTGCCCAGAAATTTCGTGTTTCCACAGTTCTCATTCCCCTTCTTCTAAAAAATAGCAGCCATCAGTGAAATCTCCCGCAACTTTCTACCACCTCACCTCCAAATTTACCTATAACGCTGAATTTTTTTGCTTCAATCATAATGGAACTATATTCCTACTTTTGTCAAAAGTTAGCCTTAAATACCCTATCTGCTCAGGAGCCTTGGTTTGATAATTATTCTCAGAATCATTTCTCCTAGGCCTTCTATTTGATCAATTGATGCTCTTCTGGGCATTTCCCTGTGGCTTCAGATTTTTACGTCCAACTAGTCTTCTCCCAGGAATTTAAGACTCGTATATCCAACTGTGTTCTGAAGCCTTCTATTTGAAGTTTGCACAGACACCACACAGTGAAGATGTTTCCTGTTACAGTCTGTGTCTCTTCCCCGAAGTAGGTCCTCTTCATAGGTTGCCTTATCTCACGGGATCTGCTTGCATTGGCAAGGTAGAAATATGAGAGTCATTCTTCGCTGACAGCACTCCCAAATCCCAACATCACATCCATCATTAAACCCCGCTGGTTTTACCTCCAAAACAGCTCCCAAATCCAGCCCCTATCTCCCTTCCCTGCCGCCACAGGACTTCCAGTCACCTTCATCTCTTGTCTGGGCTCCTGCAAGAGCCTCCTAATTGGTCTCACTCTTTGTTCACTTTAAAAAAGACTTAGTAGTATGAAAAATTTCAAAGGTACACAAATGTAAAGAAAATAATATAATGAACCTCCATATTCCCCTCTCCCCAGAATTAGCAACATGCTACCCTTTCTGCCTGTCTCTGCATTGCCCCTTTTCAACCCATTCTCCACATTTCCACTCTGCTTCTAGTGTTATGTTTCTGAAGCTCCAGTGTTAGCATGTCATTATTCTGTTTAACAGTGTGCAGTGGCTTCCCGCTGTCCTAAGGATCGTGTCCACATTCCTTATATGGGCATAATATTCTGCATGATCTGACCCTTCACACTGTTCCAGCCACTCCTACCTAGCCCCACGCTTATAGTTTTCCAGGTTCCCTGGCCATTTTTTATTTCCTTAAACATGCCACAACTTCAACCAGCTAATTCCCAGATAGCCTTCAGGTCTCACTTTAAGTATTGCTTCCTAAGGGAAGTAGTCCCTAATCTGCTAGATGAGGTTGAATTCCCTTTGTTAATAGCTAATACATATTAACTACTTTCCTAAGGATCATCTAATTTAATCCACAGAGCACTCCTATGAGATAGGTACTATTCTTATTAATATTTTCCCATTTTACTAGATAAGGAAACTGAGGCACAAAGAGCTTTTATTGTGTTGCCCATCGTCACACAGTAGGTGGAAAGACAAGCAGGTGTACCTGAGTCCTTACTCCTCCGCCTTGTGATGTACTCTAATGGCACCCTGGCTAGGACACCTCTGGAGAGCTGATCCCAGGCTGAGCTAATGAGGGGATTGGGCAGCTCTGGAGCTGAGTTGTATGTCATGAGACTGTCTTTGTGCCTATGTACACAGACAGGAGTAACTGCAGTGTCAGGTGTGACTGAGATGTGGCATTCTACCCGGGCCCCCACTTCCATTGACAGCGATGAGTCTAGATGACGAGTATTAGTATGTTAAGGCTATAGAGTTCCAATGCTAAGGAGGACTAATGTTACTAAGAGAACGATTGTTAGATTGTATTACATTGACTACTTTTTTGCCGGAAAACATGTAAATCCATTCCTTCTCCCAGCCTCTGCTGCAGCAGTCTTATCTTGAATGTTCCCACCTTTGCCTTGGGCTTTCCTGCTGTTTTCAGGTGGTTGAAAGTTACTGTCCCCTGTTAGCCATGGCCATATAGAGAGGAAACATACTCTGCCCAGTACATAACAACCTTCTTGTTTCGTTATTTTCAAGCATAGCACAGCTCACCCAAGTATGGAGTCATGGTCTTAGTGGGGGTGTCGTAAATCATAGAACCGTCAGAGAGACAAGGCCCCTGAAAGCAACAAGCATCAGAAAGGGAAGTTGCTTTCACTGTACTATGTGGGTTCCCATGACTATAGGGAGAAACAGAAGAACATTTTATGATTTGGGATCTTGCACAATCTTTGGGGAAGTTTTTCTGTCTACACACATTCTGATGGCATGATTTTGTAGGTGGCATGTGGTTAATAAGTTTCTTAAGAGTCTTTTAGCAAAGACTTTACTCCTGTGTGTTTGCCCAGAGCCTTAAAAGGCCCACGGGCCCTGGAAGCTGGGTTCTGGCTCCTGTAACACGTTCCCCTAACCAGATCCCACTCCTCTATCAGAGATGGCACTCTGCCAGTCTGCTCTTTCTTTGACTCCTAGTACTCTGACCTTAAACAAATTTCTCTCTGACAAGCATCTGTAAAATTGCTTTGGTTTACTCTGCCTGCAGGAACTAAGGACTCACATGTACTCTATTGCCCTCCAATCAGGTTTGTTCTCAGGAAGGGATCATAACATATTTGTAAATAAAGACTTACCAGCACCGATACACCCTCTGTAGTTTCTTTGGGCTTAGGATAAATGAAAAGCATTATATTAGTTTTAAACTTATATAAAGAATTCCCACATTTAAGATGACTAGAGTTATATTCCATCAATCCATTCATTTTATTCCCTAATATTTAATGAACAGGTAATGTTGTGGAGGGAAAGTTTGTGTCCCCCTCAAATTCATATGTTGAAATCCTAACCCCTAATATGTTGGTATTAGGAGGTGGGACCTTTGGGAATGATTAAGTCATGAGGTTGGAGCCATCCTGAATGGGATTAACACCTTATAAAAGAGATCACAGGGCCAGCCTGGTGGCTTAGTGGTTAAGTGCGCACGTTCCACTTTGGCAGCCCAGGGTTCGCCGGTTCGGATCCCGGGTGTGGATATGGCACCACTTGGCAAGCCATGCTATGGCAGGCATCCTACATATAAAGAAGAGGAAGATGGGCTTGGATGTTAGCTCAGGGCCAGTCTTCCTCAGCAAAAAGAGGAGGATTGGCAGCAGTTAGTTCAGGGCTAATCTTCCTCAAAAAAAAAAAAAGAGATCCCAGAAAGCTCCCTTGCCTCTTCTGTCATGTGAAGACACAGTGAGAAGATGGCCATCTATGAACCAGGAGGCTTCACCAGACGCCAGATCTGCCAATGCCTTGATCTTGGACTTCCCATCCTCCAGAATTATGAGAAATAAATGGTGTTCATAATCCAACGAGTCTACGGTATTTCGATATAGCATTTCAAACAGACTATGACACATGCTATGTGCCGAGCACATTGTTGGTTATAGAGATACAGTAATGAATATGATAAAAATCACTGCAGTTAAGGACCTCATATGCTATATCTTAAAACAAAAAACGAAAGACGATGAATTCTATGAGGTAGAAATGAAAGAGAAGCTTACTTAATATCATTATAACAATGAAATTAACTAATTGCCAATGAAATCTTTCTATTTGTCTCAAATATGTGGAGGGCGAATACATATATAGTGCCTGAAGCCACCAATATTAGGAACGTTTCTTAAAGAAGATGCCACCTATTTAAAAATGGCAGTTTCTCTGTAACATTTTCTAACATTACACTGCCATAATTACAAGGTTACTGTCTTGGTAGCTTCACATTGCTTCTCCTCACACACATGGGCCTACAAAAACTATACTTAGCTTTGATCCCATTAGAAACAAAGAATTTTTATGCTGAACCATAAAAATTTATGCTGATATATTTGGGTATCATTTGAGTATATTTGGGTCGATACATTTGATGCTGATTTATTCAAGCCTATCACCTTTCCGACATACCAGATCCTTACCAAACGCCAGAATAAAATATTCATTAATTTTTTTAAAGTTACCTGATATGACACTTTCTATGTAAGGCCCATAGAAACAATGAAAGCAATAACAGTTTAATTGTTTTTCTTTTGTATCTCATTCTTTTCTGAGAGGAAAAAAGAAACAGATAAAAGTAGATTAAATAAAGTACAACGTATACAAAGTAAGAAGTGTTGAATCCTGCCTCCCCATGACTTAAACTAGATGATTTAATAGATATTCGCTAGGATTGAAGGCACTTTTGGTCCTTGGATGTCTCTCTATATGAAAACAGGGTTGAGGTGGTGGAGACACTGTTTATTTGAGCTATCTTCCCAAAGTCTTAGGACTCACGTGGTCTGAGCTGACCTTGACACAAGATGTCTCACAACCTTAATTTGTCTTTTCTAAGTACAAAGGGCTTTCCTTACCCAAACAAAAAATACGAATACCACTTCCCAGTCTAACTCACAGGGTAAGGTGTCAGAGAAAAGAGATAATTATGAACATACTTAAAGAATTGAATAGTTATGAAGGAACTTATTATTCTTAATTAAATAATATTATGCAGTTGCTCACTCCATGAAAGACGATATGACTGATAAGAGCATAAAATATATGTCCCTTCTCAAATGTATTTGAACATAAAATTGACTCAGAGCACTAACTGGAGGCTAAAGTATAATTTTTAGATTATTTGTGCATTGACCTTGGAATTTTAGCCATCAGGTTTATAAAACTCCTTTGTGGTATTTAATCTGTGCAATATGAAATTGTCTGTGTGCAGAAAAGGAATTGGATGTGGCTCAATTTTGATGAAATTCAGGACAAACTCTTACCTCTCGTTTTCCTAAGATCAGATAAGAATTTTATACAGCTTCTATCCTTGGAGATTTAACATTCATGGTACAGTGGTTTGGGAAGACGTGGAGAATCTCAAGAGGGCAGACAGTTTTCAAGCAGAACATTTTGAGACCTTTGAAAAATCAAGAAGCAGATAACCTAGTGTTGGTTCTATGGCACTCTCTGGTTTGTGTGTTTATCACTTCAGGCTTCTGTGAATGATGTCATCAGATTCTCTTTTGATGATGAAAGAACTAGATACTTGCTATCATAACAATACATATGCCACTAGCTTCTCTTTGTCATTACCAGAGGACTAGATTTTGTCCCATTTAAAAAAAAATAGAGCCATTTAAATTCCTTTCTTGAGGATTTTTTTCAAGGTTTATAATCCTTTTCTTTTTTTTTTTTTTTTTTTTTTGGTGAGGAAGATTGTGCCTGAGCTAAAATCTGTTGCTAATCTTCCTCTCTTTGCTTGAGGAAGATTGTTACTGAGCTAACATCTGTAGCAATCTTCCTCTATTTTGTATGTGGGATGCCACCATAGCATGGCTTGATGAGCTGTGTGCAGGTCCACGCCTGGGATCTGAACCTGTGAACCCCGGGCTGCTGAAGCGGAGCATGCAAACCCAACCACTCCACCACTAGGCCAGCTGTATAATACATTTTTAATTGAAGTATAATTTATATAAATTAAAACACATGCAATTAGGTGTATAGTTCATTGAGTTTGTTACCCATGTGCATATGTGTGTAAAACCGACTCTGATTAAGATATGGAACATTTCCATGACTCCAGTAACTTTTCTTGTGCCCCTTGAGTTACACTCTTTGCATTTGGCTTTTTTCACTCCAAGGTTTTGCAGCTCACTCAAGTTGTTGTGTTTCTCACACCATACAAAAAGTTAATTCAAAATGACTTATAGGGGGCCAGCCCGGTGGCTCAGAGGTTAAGTTTGCACATTCCGCTTTGGCAGCCTGGGGTTCACCGGTTCAGATCCTGGGTGCGGACATGGCACTGCTTGGCAAAGCCATGCTGTAGTAGGCGTCCCACATATAGAGGAAGATGGGCACTGATGTTAGCTCAGGGTCAGTCTTCCTCAGCAAAAATGAGGAAGATCGGCAGCAGATGTTGGCTCAGAGCTAATCTTCCTCAAAAAAAAAAACAAAAAACAAAACCAAAATGAATTATAGATCTAAGCATAAAAGCTAAAGTCACAAGCTTTTAGACAAAAACATAGGAGGATATCTTTGTAACTTAGGGGTAAGATAAAGGTCTCTTAGGTAACAGAAAACAACTAAAAAATGATAAATTATACATCATCAAAACTAGAAAACTTTGGTTCATCAAAAGACACCTTTAAAAAAAACGAATAAGTAAGCCATTACTATTCACCAAAGATTTTCAGTTACCTGAAATGATACATACCATACATGATCCATACAGGAAATAAAATCCATATCCATGTTAGAAATTTCCTATTGATTTCCATTCTTCCTAGAAAGAAAAAGGGAGATAATGAAGGAGGATAATTAAAATAAACTAATACAGAATTAGAGTCTGTTTTAGGTCACAGTAGAGTGGATTACACCAGACTAATGCTCTCATAGATGACAGTCATAAGCTCTGGATGAAATTTTTTTAAAAAAAGGTTAAATAAAACTATTTGAAGGCCAAGGAGAGGGACCAAAAACAGGCTGTCTTTGAAGGTGGGAAGTGTGTTGGGTAAAATTCACGTTCATACAGCTTTTCCTTTGAGGTTATCCCCCAATTCACACAGAGCTGGGTGACTAGAACTCACATAGAAATACTGGAGGAGTCAGAGGATGGAGTTGGTAGGTATAAAGGAGGCTGAAAAGTAATAGAGAAAATCCCAGAAAGATGGAGACACAGAGTGGGGTACCCCAAATCAGCATAGAAACTCTGACCAAAACCTTGGATAACAACATGCAGAGCAAAGACTGAAGTTTCCTCAGGAAACAGCAACTTCTGAAAGGCTGTAAAAATGGAGCGATATCAGCTGATGCCCCCTACAGGAGAAATGGGGGTTGGAATTTGAGTCCAGCCCAGTTAACTATCTGTTCATACAAAAATCAGCACTTTTCAGAGGAAAATAAGAGAATCCATAGACTCTGCAACATGTCATCCATAATGTCAGGGATTCATTTTGAAAAGTTACTAGACATGCAGAGAAACAGGAATATGTGACCCACAGTGAAGAGCAATGAACCCCAATGTAACTCAGATGTTGGAAGTGGTAAACAAGGACTTTAAAGCACCTATTATAAAAACGTTAGGATTTAATGTAGAACTTGGTCAAAATGAAGGAACAGATAGGAATTCTCAGCAAGGAAAGGGAAGCTATTAAAAAATGGACATTCTAGAACTTTAGCTATATTTGAAATGAAAATGTTAGTAGATGGGCTTACAAACAGATTGAATACTGTAGAAGAAAAGGTCAGTGAAATGAAAGACAGATCAAGGTTATGTGAAAAAGAGAGGAAATAAAAATCTATTTACATTTAAACTGTAATCAGAAGCTACCTCAGCCACCCACATGTGGAAGTTTCTACACTCTCTCCCGTTGACAGTCTCTCCAAGTTGGGGGCCTTCTGGAGGAGGGAAAATGTAGGGGCACCCAAGGGATGTAACACTCCCTTAGACAAATAAGGTGGTGAGGCACGAACAGGCATAATAATATTTTAAAATCCGTTTTAAAGCCCATCTACTTTCAGGAAGTGTTTGAGATGGCTTATGGTTAAGAAGGTATGGTTACAATAAACAGAGAAACAATATGCAAGAATAAAAAAAAGGGAATAGAAAGAGAAACACTTATTTAGTCACTCAGGTATGTATTTTCACATGATCTTGGTCATCCCACCCACTCCATGAGAATAAAGATTTTACATTTATTTTTATTTACATTTAAAGTAATTACTGATAAGGAAGGACTTATCTCTGTCATTTTGCTATTTGTTTTCTATATGCCGTATAGCTTTTTTCATCCTTCATTTCCTGCATTACTGTCTTCTTTTGTGCTTAGTTGATATTTTTGTAGTGAAATATTTAAATTCCTGTCTTGAGGCCAGCCCTGTGGCATGGTGGTTAGGTTCAGCGTGTTTTGCTTCGGCAGCCTGGGTTTGTGGGTTTGGATCCTGGGTGTGGAGCTACACTACTCATCAGCTGCACTGTGGCAGCAACCCACAGAAAAAAGTAGAGGAGGATTGGCACAGATGTTAGCTCAAGGTTAATTGTCCTCAGCAAAAAATGAGAAAGATTAGCAACAGATGCTAGTGTGGATGTAATCTTCCTCAGCAAAAAAAAAAAAAAAAATCCAGTCTCATTTCCTTTTGTGCATATTCTTCTTTTTTTTTTTTTTTTTTGAGGAAGATTAGCCCTGAGCTAACATCTGCTGCCAATCCTCATCTTTTTTTTTTTTCCTGAGGAAGACTGGCCCTGAGCTAACATCCATGCCCATCTTCCTCCACTTTATATGTGGGACGCCTACCACTGCATGGCTTGCCATGCAGTGCCATGTCCGCACCTGGGATCCGAACTGGCGAACCCCAGGCCACCGAAGCAAAACATGCACACTTAACCACTGTGCCACTGGGCCAACCCCCTTTTGTATATTCTATCGCTGTTTTCTTTGTGGTTATCATGGGAATTTCATTTATTATCCTGAAGTTATAACACTCAAATTAGAATTTATACCAGCTTAACTTCAATAACATACCAAAACTTTGTTCCTTTACAGCTGCAACCCCACCTCTTTTGGTTAGTCATGTTGCAAAAGTACCTCTGTATACATTGTGTGCCCAAAAACATAAACTAATAATTCTTTTAAATGCATTGATCTCTTAAACATGTGGAAGACAAAATTTGAAGTTACAAAGCAGAGTTATAATAGTATTAGCTTTTAGGCTAGTAATTTTTTAAAAAATGTATTAGTCTCTTAAATAATGTAGGAAAAAAAGTGGAGTTACAAACTGTTGTTACAATGCTAGCTTTAATAATTGCTCATTTATTTACTTTCATTGAGATCTTTATTTCTCCATATTGTTTTGACTTACTGTCAAATATCTTTTCATTTCACCCTGCAAGACTCCCTTCTGGCCTCCAAAGTTTCTGAGGAGAAATTGCCTGTAATCTTATTTGCAACAGTGTATACGATGAGTCACTTCCCTCTTGCTGCTTTCAAGATTCTCTCTTTGTCTCTATCTTTGTTTTTCAAAAGTTTGTTTATAATGTTTCTTGTCTTGTGTGGGTCTCTTTGAGTTCATCTTACTTGGACTTCATTGAGCTTCTTAGGTGTTTATAGTCATGTCTTTCATCAAACTTTGGAAGTTTTCAGGCATTATTTCTTCAAATGTTTTCTCTCTCCCCTCTTTTCCTGGGACTCCCCCAGTGTGTATGTTGCTCAGCTTGGTGGTGTCCCATAAGTCTCTTAGGCTCTGTTCACTTTTCTTCAATCTTTTTTGTTTCTGTTCCTCAGACTCGATCATTTCCATTATCCTATCTTCACATTCAGTGATTCTTTCATCTGCCTGCTCAAATCTGCCTTTGAATCCCTCTAGAGAATTTTTCATTTCAATTATTGTAACTTTCAGTTCCAGAATTTCTTTTCTTTTCTTTTTTTTTAGGTTTTCTCTCTCTTCATTGATATTTCCACCTTGTTCATGTATCATTTTCCTGACTTTTTTCCCCCATGTCTTCCCTTAGTTCTTTGAGCATCTTTGATAGTTGTTTTAAAGTCTTTGTCTAGTGTATCTGCATCAGGACTTTTTCAGGAACAGTTTCTGTTTATTTATTTTTCCTTTGAAAGGGCCATACTTTTCTGTTTCTTTGTATGCCTTGTGATTTTTTGTTGATAACTGGACATTTGAATCTAATATTGTGATAAATTTGGAAATTAGAGTATCTCCCTTCCCCAGGGTTAGCTATTTTTTGTTATTGTTTTCATTTACTGTTTTTGCTTTTTCAATTGTAGTAGCCTGTCTCTGTAGTGAGGATCAGCATAAGGGTGAGCTGAAGGTCTTCTGAGGTCTTTTCTGAGCCTTTTCCTGGGCGTGTGTGGTCATTTACTAATTTTCCCCATATTGCAGTTGTTTTCGAATATCTTAGTCTTTAATATGTGGTCCCAAAGGGGAGAAAAGGGAAAAATAAAGGGAAAGAAAAAGGGTACTGGCCTGTTAAATCCCCTGGAAGTCACTTCACCTGGAGGGGGAGGGGCTTGCAACAATGGGAGGAGATGCAACAGCAAAGGCTGCCTGCCTCTTTGTCTGCATCTCTGTGATCAGAAGCAGTAATCAGTGATCAGAGCACAGATCCCCAGTATTTGGAGGACAGGGTCCTTTTGCCAGCGCAATTATTGTCTGGGTGGGGAGACAGATTCTTGGTGCTTTCTACTCTACCATACTCCCAGAATCCTCTTCACTTGGGAAGCATTTAAAAGCCTCCATGCCGGGTGGCCCATGGCTGAGTGGTTAAGTTCCAACACTCGACTTTGGGAGCCCAGGGTTTCGCTGGGTGGGATCCTGGGCCCAAACATGGCACCACTCATTAGGCCATGCTGAGGTGACATCCCACATGCCACAACTAGAAGGATCACAACTAAAATATACAACAATGTACTGGGGGGATTTGGGGAGAAAAAGCAGGGGAAAAAAGGAAGATTGGCAACAGTTGTTAGCTCAGGTACCAACCTTTATAAAAAAAAAAAAGTCCCAATGCCCATCCCATGCCAACTGAATCAGAATCTCTGAGTTCAGAACCAGGCATCCATAATTAGCTCTCCAGGTGATGCCAGGATGCAGCCAAGTTTGAGAACCAGCGCTGTATGCCTCCTACAACTAAGAGACAGTCATGACTCCTAGGGGCTACTTCGGATTTTGGAGGCAGTGTCCCACACACGACGGTATCCAGCTGCCTCTCATTTGCCTGACAAGTGTAAAAGCAGTGAGCTTCCAGTGGGACCCTGAACAAGAGAAAGCTCTCCAGCTGGTCCAGGTTCCAGGCGAGCTGCTCTGCCACTGGACTCTTATGACCAATCGTATCTTACACCGTTCAAAGGGTCTGAAGATGGTGGATGAAGACTGTGGCTAGCCTTGATAGAAAACTTACCGCGGAGGCCCACGGAATTCCAGGGCAAGGAAGTACCCCTTGAGCAGGTAACCATCCTTTCCTCCTTTTAAATAGAAGTTACTATAATTCTTTCCCGTCTTCCTTCCTTATCTCTCACTACTGACTCTAGTGTGTTTGAGTGTGAGCTAAATGTACCATTTCTTTACAGAGTACAGAATAGTCAGAAGGGCTTTCTAAGGGAGAAAGGAGAAATAATTATTATCTGGAGATGATTGACTCTGAGAAGCCTGGCCCTGTGACATTCTGTGGAGTCTGTGGTCTACTATTAGGAGAGGGGGCTGTGCATAATGTTTTTGGACCATGGCAGCAGGGAATATTTTAGCTATGTGGAAAGAAGTGATTGACAGCCAGACAGCTATAAGTGGAATGTGGTAGACACCTTTGTCTTGCAACAATATGTCCTTCTCTGAGAACTGCCTCATAGTGTAACCCACCCTCCGATAAACCTACCCCATGGCACAGCTGCTGGGCGCATGAGTGGATGCTGTGCCATTTGGGTTTTCTTTTCCAGGAACTTAGCGTTTTGAAGGAAGAAACCCTGAGTCTGGAGTTGGTTGGAACTGGGTCATATTGGCAGACCTTTAGGGGAAGTTCACAATTTTCAGTTCTTGAAGCCCTTGAACTTCTCTGGCTGTTGATCATGGCCTGGTTGTGGTGATGTGCTGATAAATTTTTATACAACTAACTCGTAAAAAGGAAAGACAGAAAGGAAGGGAGAGGAAAAAGAGCCCTGATTTCTAGCATTCGCTGATTCCCATGGTGTAAATCCTCCCACCATGGCCGATATCAAGCTACCACAGTGAAGTCATTGAACAGGGAGTTGGGAAGTATTGTGTAGAGTAGGCTCTCACAAGCAGGATAAGCCAGCTTCAGGACACCACTGTCTGGTTGTCAGCTTGGCCTTGTATTCAGTGCAGCTCTCCAGTAGCCTCTCAATAATCTCCCTTTTGGTTTAGACAGCTCAAGGGGATGTCTGCTCCTTGTAACCAAAATATCTTTAACTAAAACACCTGGCTAGCATGACCACCTTTCCTTCTGAACAATTACAGTCAATTCACTAAAAGTGTGTTCCAACTGTGGCTGAGTTCTCACAGCCACATACTTTAAATATTTATAGCTATTTTCATCTATATGCAAAATTCCTATCTATTTATACAAATGTGCAGTCATCACCAGGTCTAAATAAGAATCTTTTTAATCCCTGCAGTTGCTTAGGGTAACAGCGTTGTTTGGGGACATTTCTTCCCTCTAGTGGCCGCTATAGGGAACTACTTTTGTTTTAACTGCAGGTTATGGGAGGACTAAGGCAAGGTGAGCTGGAGGCTCTTGATCCCCGTCAGGGATTATTCCCAGGGTACAGAAAGTGAGGATTATGCATATTGGCTCCCCCATGCTTCTTTCTTAATGAAGTCCAAGGGAATTTTACAGCAGGGTTTCTCAACCTCATCACTTGACATTTTGAGCCAGATAATTCTTTATTGTGGGGGCCGTCCTGTGCATCGTAGGATGTTTAACAGCATCCCTGGCCTCTACCCACTAGATGTGAGTAGCATCCCCACCCTGACTTGTGACAACCAACGATATTTTTAGACGTTGCCCAGCGTCCCGGGGGTCAGGGCAGGGGGGAGGGAGTGTGCAAAATCATCCTGGTTCCGAACGACTGCTCTACACTGACGAAGCCAGCGTGTCCCAGGCATCACTGGCCTTGAGCAGCACCGAGCCTGGGAGGTTATGGCACCAGGTTAGAGCCTGAAGCTCAGGCTGTGACTCCTGAGTTCCCATACCATGTACTACAGGAGGAAAACTTCCAGGGACCAGATATTAAGGCATCTGCTTTGTAATAGGACAGAGTCCACAATGAAAGTTAAAAATTTTTTAAATTCAAAAAAGCGCTTCTTATGAGGCATAAGAGTGGGTGTGATGATTGATTGATTCATTCATCTAGTAGATATTCCTTAAGCAGTGCCTCTGAGATAGGTGATGTAACAGGTGCTGCAGCTGATGCAAAAGCAGACTATGGTCCTGCCTGTAAGGAGCTAACAATTCTAAAAGGGTTCAATGGGGATCTTTGCAGTTATAAGAGAAAGCTCAGCTCCAAATGGCTTAAACAATAACGGGACTTTATTGGCTCACACATTTGAAAAGGCCGCAGGCAGTGCAGGCCTTTGGTAAGGCCAGTGTCTCAGGGTTGTCATCAAGGACTAGGTTTCCTTCAGTGTCCCTGCTCTTCCTGTCCTATTGTCAGCTTCATCCTAAGGTTGACCTCCCTTGTGGTCACCAGAGGTGTTAGCAGCTCCCAGTGTTACGTGCTTCCTCACTTCCTGAGGGGACCTGAGATTCACCTTGATTGGAATAATAGTTTATGTCACCTGCCCACCCCCAAATCAATCACTGCCTCTGAGGATGGAAAGTGCTGACTGGCGTAGCCTGGGTCACTTGCTCCAACCATGGCACCAGAAATGCACCACAGAAATCACATGGACTCCATAAAGGAGACCAGGCATAGCTGGGAGGGGAGAAAGAGAGCCACAAATGCTGGGCGAACATGGAGTCCTCAACCAGCCAGAGCGCTCACTGGGTCTTTGCTGCTTTTCACACAGGCTCTGCCAGATGAGTTCATCCAGACCCAAGGCCTCGGCACCATTTGCGTGGGTCTCCAAGAGTCTTTAATTAAACTCCTCTGTGCTTTACATCTGCTGCTTCTCCCTCCGAGACCTCATACCATCCGCACTCCTCACAGGGATCTCCTCTTCTTTCAAAGCTCAGTTCAGACCCAGCCCCTCTGAGGCCACTTCCACCTCCCCACACAGCCTTCCCTCCTCCATGCTCCCTCAGCCTGGAACTTCCCTGGACCTTGTATTGCTCAGGGTTCATTTGTCTGCTTCTCCAGCTTGGTTCTGCGATGGGTTTAGACCCACATTCTGCTTCTGAAGAGTTTTTGTTCTACTCAGTTCTCTCTTCAATGCCTAATAAAGGAATTGAGTTGTTTGGGGTGATTCCTTTGGTGTCCTCAAATTTGAAAAACAAGATGATTAAAGAGTGTGTGTGTGTGTGTGTGTGTGTGTGTAAGTAAACATATGTGAAAGAGAGTGAGAGAAGCAGACTAGACCTGTGGAAAGAGCAAAGGATTTAGAGTGAGGCGACGGTCCTGGGTTTGAATCCTAGCTCTGCACCTTATAGATCTGAGGCTTTGACAGTGGGTCCCACTTAACCCTGTTTCCTCTCCAATAAAAAGTATGCATTGTATGTTAAGCACTCATGCTTTCTATGACATCTCACACTTGTGAGTATGCTCTCATGCCTGTGGTATTCACTTACATAGGTACCTTTTATAAATAGTACATTTAATATATGTAAGTGTCGCCGTAGCTGTAGTACCCTCATTAGTAAATCACATGGTGACTTTGTCTGGGAGAGATTAAAGATGAGTTACTCCAAGAAGGACCAGAGAAGTCAGGCCCTTCTAGCCTTAAAGAAACTTCTCCCCTTCCAGTTGCGTGTGACCCCTAGATTAGAGGTGGGGTGGAAGGAGGAGGCATGGCTGCCCCTTCCACTCGCCCTCTCTGCCCAGTCAAGCCCTCCAAGGCACTGCCTTGGCGTAACAGCTCAGTGTGAGCCCATGGGGCTTATATAAGGCCTGCATGCACAATGTAAAGAATGATGACATTCTTTTATTCTTTTTACATGATCCATTTTAACTAATTTACTTTGGAATAGGTTTAGTGCATAGAAAGCGGGAAATAATACAGGCCTGGGAACCTATCTAGTTTTTAAAATATTAATTCTGAGGGACTAATAACCCCCAGATATGGCTATGACATTGTTTTCTCCCTGTGCCCTGCTGCCCCACCCTAGGGCCTTTTCCCACTGGTAGTTAATTACTTTCGTGCATCATCACTTTGGAAAGCTCTACATAAGCATTTGTTGTTTTAAAAGTTTGGGAATCTCAACCATGTCCTTTCTTTGTAATAGTGGATACATTTATAGAAGGACATGAAGACTTTTTCGAGTCTTAAAATTTTAGATTCTATAGTGGACAATTCTGAGCATGTTTGGGAGAAATTGCACAATCCACGACCAGACCAGAATATACTGAAAAAATAATTTATTCAATTGTAAATCAGGAATTTTATTTCTTAAAGGTTTAAGAATAACTATTAATGAGATTTTGAGTTTGTCCATTTGGGATTTAAATTTAAAGGAATGAAAAAAATCAAGACTCCACAAAAGCAAACACCAACCCTTTTTCTCTTTTCTTTATGATAGATCATTTCTTTGGTTCAGGATCATTAACTCTCCCTACTCCAGAGTGGATCCCAGAAAACTTGAGTTAAAAACTTTTATAAAGTCTATTTTTTGTCAGCATTTTCGTTGGTTTTGTTTTGTTGCTGGGTTGTGAGATTTCGGGGCAAGAATTGAGTAGGAGGCACAGTAAAGCGGTAGAGAAAATGTAGGTTTCATTTTATCAAGGAAGCTCATTGTGCTGAACATCAGGCCAGTGCAATGACTCTTCAAATAAATCGCTTGAAAATGGAAACAAATGTTCTAAATTGGAACCCAAGCAAAATATAAATATACCTGCATATGTAAATGTTGCCTCCTAACTTCCTTTACATTGAATTGCCTAACTTTAAATAATATGTAGGACTTCATAGCTTCTCTAAGAAGGGAACTGAATGTTAAGCTGTTCAGTCGTGAGGACTGGGTCTCCGACTGCCATCCCCTCTACTTGTGATAAAAAGTCAATTAACCATTTTATTGAATGCATCTGGTTGTTACACTTCAGTAGCGCAGATGGAGCAAGGAAAACCAAGAGGTCACTTGATGGGAGGGCTTTTCCTCCGCTGCTCTCTGTGATGTCAGCCCTCCAATTGGGGCATGATGGGCTGAGGGACCCTGAGGGCTAGAGCAGGTGGTGTGGGACTTGCTGATGACTGATTGTCATGAAGCCCAGGTCAAGGAAATGTAACTCCTTGCAAGCCTCTTCAATCCACTGCAGTCCTTTGCCTTCCCTGACGCCATCCACTTCCTCTGGCCAAGGATCTGAAGACATAGGTTACAGACTTGGGCAGACTGAATGTGACTTGAGCAAAAGAAGAAGCATCTTCCATTCATGTCGCCACTGCTCTGGGTGTTGTGGGGTCGAGGAGGCTGGAGAACACCTACACTGCCTCCCATTCAGCTCCTGGGACCATGCTGTGTTTAAGTGCCAGCCCCATACCCTGTGCCCCTCTGAGGTGGCATTGCGCCACCATGATCAGACCCTCTTTCCACTCTTTGATATTCCATGGCAAACTCAATTTGAGGCTGTGTTTTCACTTTATGCTGAGCACCCACTGGCTCATTCAGATTCCCTGTGACTCCAAAGATACACCACCATGGTATCCATTGGGAATCTCCACCAATCCTTCCCACAGAAACCAAACAACATCCTGATGAGAAAAGCACATGGACTACAAACGGCCTGCAGCAGTCTGCTACTGAAACCATTTGAGGCTTGCCAAGATGGACTGTGTCCTTACTGAGAGTTTTCCTGCTGCAAAGCAACTCTATGTTGCTTCAGACTCAGCAAAGACAGGAAGGTATTGAAATCAAGGGGAAAACCCTTGACAATTCTATCTTCTTGCCCAACACTTCCCTGAGCACCTTTTTCTCCAGTACATTATCTGGCACATGTAGAGTGTTTCTGGCTTTTCTTTGCCCGTGACAAATTCTTTTTGGCTCAGCTGATAGTATTTCCCCAAACCCAGAATAGATAAGAAATCACTGGGAATTTACATCTGATCACCATAGGTTCATTCTCCCATATTACAAGGCTCAAAGTTACAAGGAGGAATAGTATGTACTTGCCATGTTGGTGTTTTGTTAGTATGTTTCTTTAAGTTAAAATTAAGTGTTACTTTTCTGAGGAAGTAGCCAGAATGATACTCTCTCAAATTCAGACACCTACTGGCACGATTTAAAGTCAGACATTATTTCTAACCAAATTATACTCTTTTGTCTGCCAAGATATCTTGACAACCTTAATTTCTGAAGGCCGGCCTATATGATAATCCCAGCAATATTCTGGGGATAAGATTTTAGTGGGTTTGTTGAGAAGAAAATACTTGTTTAGGTGGCTTTCATCATGCCACTTGGCTTCTATATCATTTTCCTTGTCCTGGAGGATTCCCTTGAAGCACTCCTGGGTGATGTTTAGAACCTGAATGGGTGTTCCTCCAAAAATGGCTGCGTGGTAATAAAAATCCCCCTGGCCGAAGGGAATGTATGCTGCAGACTCCTTCCGCCTCTCGTAGGTAAACTCATCAGGATCTGCCTTGTACCACCACGCCTGTAGCTGAGCCACTGACTGGCCCAGCGTCTCCACCCCAAAGTTGCCTTGGAAGACCTGGTCTACATCCATGCAGAAGAGGAAGTCGACTTCGTGCTGGATGTGGGCCACAATGTGGTCCCCAATAGTCTTCATGCGCATCATGCTGATGTCCTGCCACCTCTTCTCAGACTTGATCTCAAACACTTTAAAGGAACGCAGAGGACCCAGCTCTATGAAAGGCATCCTGGAGACATCGTCCACCATGATATAAAATATGACTTTGTGGCCAACCATGAAGTATTTATTAGCAGATGTTAAGAACTCCTCCAAGTAATGCTCAATGTATCTGAAACAAAACAGAAGGGGATCAATGGAACCTCTGGGATTTCTGCAGGAGACTACGTGCTATTCTAATCATCTCATCTGCATTTTGCAGTTTAGGAGAGGAATGGTTTTTCCCCATCCCAGACATGTTTTCATGTGGAGGGACATCTGTTACTGTAACATTCCTGGCCGCTCTCCACAGAGTCACTCAACTTTGAGGAGTTGGAGTGATGACTCTGCTGATTTGGAAGGGTGACTGGGCACAAACAATCCTGCCCAATTCTCTCTCACTCTCGGAAGCCGGCCAGTTGGAGAGAGTGTGTGTTCTCAACTGCTCTGGGCCTTACAGTGAGCTTAGTGGTACAGGCCCTACTCCCACGTCCAGAGGCCTGCAGTTTCTAGTGCTGTTAGGTGCCTGGATGCCGAACTGTTTCTAATTCTGTGGTTCAGTATTAGGAGGCCAGGGCCTCCAGCCTGCAGATATAAGCCACATTCTCCAATACCAGCTTTAAATGTAATGACGGTGATATTTACTATCATCTGCCTTACTTAGCCTCTTGTCTTATTTATCAGTTGGTTCAGACTTTGGGCAGGCAAAGAGGGGTGCTGTTTTTTCCTCAGCTTTCTTGAGTTATAATTGACCTATAACATCGTGTAAGTTTAAGGTATACAAAGTGTTGATTTGATACACTTACATATTACCAAATGATTACCATCATAGCATTAGAAGCACCTCCATCATGTCACGTAAATGCCATTTCTTTTTTGTGGTGAGAACGCTTAAGATCTACTCTCTTAACAACTTTCAAGTATATAATACAGTATTATTAACTATAATCGCTACGCTACATATTAGATCCCCAGAACTTACTCATCTTGTAACTGTAAGTTTTTACCCTTTGACCCACATCAGGGAGTGCTAGTTCTTGAGCCTCTCTCAAAAACCCCAACCTATTCCCTTAATGTTGCTACTGACCTATCAGATGCAAGGGTGACGTGACCCTTGGATCCTTTGGGGATGCATTAAGCCTAACCATTGCCACTTTCTCCTCCTCTGGGACCCAGAGATTGGGTTATGGGACATGGATATCCTTCTGTATTACATATTCACCCTGTTAGCCTCCCACTGGTCACGCAAAACACCAATCCATTGTCCGGACACCACCATTATAAGATCCATCCAAATACTAGGGCAAACAATCTCTGATTTAACCTTATTTTAACTATTTTTTCCCTTTTTTAAAAATAGATTTTATTTTTTAGGGCATTTTTAAGTTCACAGCAAAACTGAGCTGAAAGCACAGAGCTCCTATATACTCCCTTGCTCCTTCCTGTGTCCCACATCTTCCCCAACTATTGACATCCAGCACTAGGGTGGTACATGTGTTGCAATGGATAATCCTACATTGACACATCATTATCACCCCAAGTCCATAGTTCACATTAAGGTTCACTCTTGGTGTTGTACAGTCTATGGGTTTGGACATATGTATAGTGACATGTATCTATCATTATGTATGGTATTATACAGAGTATTTTCACTGCCCTAAACACCCTGTGTTCCACCTATTCATCCATTCTCCCACTCCTAACCCCTGGCAACTACTGATGTTTTTATTGTCTCTATACTTTTGCATTTTCTAGAATGTTATATAGTTTGAATCATACTATATATCTGTAGCCTTTTCAGATTGGTTTCTTTCACTTAGTGATATGCATTTAAGGTTCCTCTGTGTCTTTTCATGGCTTGATAGCTCATTTCTTTTTAGTGCTGATAATATTCTATTGTCTGGATATACCTCAGTTTATTTATCCACTCACTTACTGAAAGATATCTTGGTTGTTTCCAGGTTTTGAATTATGAATTCAATTACACGTAAACCTGCTATAAACATCTCTGTGCAGATTTTTGTGTGGACATAAGTTCTCACCTCCTTTGGGTAAATACCAAGAAGTACAATTGCTGGATTGTATGGTAAGAGTATGCTGAGTTTTGTAAGAATCTGCCACACTGTTTTCCAAAGTGGGTGTTCCATTTTGTATTCCCACCAGCAATGAATGAGTGTTCCTGTTGCTCCACATTTTTGTCAGCATTTGGTGGTGTCAGTGTTTTGGGTTTTGTCCATTCTAAGAGGTGTATAGTGGTGTTTTAGCTATCTATTCCTTCAAAAACAATCACATTGCTGTCTTCTGTAACCCAAGCTACACACTATCTTGTAAAGCCATGGAGATCAGAGAAGAGGAAGGAGTAGTCAGATGGTTTAACACAACTCATACAAACTCCAGGCTCACGCTCAGGAATGTGGACTGAGTTTCATTTGCTGGTCACACTACTGGCCAATCATAAAGTTTTGTGAGTGATAATAACTGGCACTTCTTTTTGCTTGTTGGTAGCTGCTTGGATTCCCTTTCTTTACTACAGAAATAAAGTGTGCTTTTAATGTTGGCCTGTGGAAACCCAAGCATTTACCGTACTGATTCTTTAAATGGAGAGAATGTATCTGAGCAATATTAAGAGGGACTTAGACAAGACTCTGTGGCTGGTGGGCAGGAAATTCTTTGGTGCTCTGGAACTTTAAAACAATCTATTGTGCCCTGAAGCTTGGGAGACAATCCTGGGAGGAGCGGGGATGGGAGGTTTAACATTGTTTAGACATTACAGCACTGCTGTTGGCTCTGTGCCTTGTCAAGCAGAGCCAACATCACACGTCCGACGGGTCCAGATCCACTCCTGCGAGCATCTACTGCCGCTGAGCTCAGTCCTCTGCTGCCGCAGAGCTCAGGGCACAGGGTTTTCACCAGGACGCGCGATTTACAGTTTAGCTCTGCGGAGCCGCAACTGGATGGCTGAAGCCAGTGTGCAGCAGGAGCCAAAGGTCTGTTCTTTTTGGAAACACCAGGATCAAATCAATCTGCAATGTGCTGGCTTGTCCCCTCTCGCGCCAAAGGATTAGGTGAGCTGAGCATCAGCTCCTGACTCATAACAGAACGGGTTCTTCTAGTAAAAACGTCAAAACCCCACAGTCACCCTTCTCCATTAGAGATGACACCTAAGCCTCTGGGATCAGTGCAGTCAGTGACATTAGGACTTGATTAGTATGGTGACAGCAATGACTTCTGGGCTCTGGGATGGAGAACGAGCTTAGGAGCTCATCAGATCTTCACAGAGCTCTCCTTTGGGCCCTACAGTGGGCAGAGCTCAAGCTCAGATCAACACGGGCTTTCAAGTCTCTTTGTACCTGCAAAGGGATCAGCTCTCTATGTGGCTTTCAGGAAAAATACAGATAGAAAGGCCCAAGGTGTGTAGGTGGGTGGGGGGAGCGATGAGGAAATAGGAAAATTGAACTTACGCATTGGTTTTGGGGAAAAAAAAATTTAAAAATTCACCAAAAGAGCAAATTGGCTTATATTTTAAAATTAATATTACAGCTACTAATGTCAAGTAAGAATGATTGCAGTTTTGGGAGAAACGATCTGAACTAGGAAATGGAAGCTGAAAAAGGGACTTCTCCAACCTCTGGAAGAGGCGGTTCTGGCCAGCCAGATCTCCGGGGGCCGAATCTTCCAGGAGAGATAGGTGGAAGGGGCCTGAGGAACCCATGGAGGAGTGGTCAGCCACGCTCCAATGTGGAAAACCACTGCACTTAAGTCACCTTTGCCGAGAACCTGCTGTAAATCCTTCTGTCCTTGGTCCCGGGTCTTGGGAGCGTGGGAGAAAGAATGATGCACATTTGGGCTGTCTAATAGCTGGCATTTTTGGAATTTCCAGAGAAAACCATGGATCGCAGGGAGGGAAAGGTGATTACGGGTGTGCTGTAGACACCGGGCTTGGCAGGTGCTGGTCCAGGCATTTTTCCCTGCAATCTGGGACCCTCACTTCAAGGTGGGAAGGAGTCGACCCACCTACTATTGTTTTGTTCTCAGCCTTTGGGTTCTCAGCAGAAATGGGACTGAAATGGTTGCATTAAAACATTCTCCTATCTAATAATTCAGACAAGTCATAAGCACCCTCCTAAGCCAAGGGGGCCCCTCACAAACATTTTGACAGTGAAACAAGAAAAAGCTGAGGTCAGTTTTATTAGTGACACCTACCTTCCGACAGCAAACACCGTCAGACCCACGGTAATTTTCTGTTTGGCATAATAATTTTCTAAGATGGCACTGTTGTAAGTGCCTTCCCACACGACCGGCGCCTTCCATTCGGTCACCGTCACAACCTCTGGGCGTTCCCTGGTGATGAAACACAGAGAGCCCCATGAGTCGGGACAGCTTTGCTGAGGTTGGGCAGTGAGCATCTATGGAAAATGTGGGGTCAGCTACGATTCGCGGTGACTGCCCTTGCATCCTGATGGTAGCTTAACTCCAAGCATTGGCTGGGCAGTGTGACATCTGCAGGGGCAGCATATTCTGGATAAAGGACAGGAGGCTGTGGCCTAGGTGCCTCTGAGGGCTGCCTTGGGGCCCTTATGGGGACCTTGCATTTCATACTGTCTGTTCCCTTTCCTGATCTCTTCTTCCTCCTAAACCCCTCCCCCTATCTCCTAAGCCCCTTACTAAGCTGCCAGCGGCATCTTTGGGTGTTGTGTATCCCTCTGGGTGTCATCTGAGCCTAAAAAGGTCCTAATCCTTGACACATGGGGATGAGAGAGTGACATTAGAACAGAAAGGGGAAAAGCTATTTTAATTTGCCTTTTGCCAGAAAGGGATGGCTGGGAAAGAATCTGGTATCAGGGCCTGACTAAGGGGGTTCTGGTGTTATTATTCATTTTACAAACAAGGAGACAGAGTCACTCAGGAAAGAAGCAACTTGACAGAGGCCCACCAAGGCCAAGGCTGGAACATGGGCTTAGACCCTCTCCTCAACGTCCTTGCTTCTTTACTAGGACCACAGAGCGGGGAGGGGGAAGCCTGCCTCTGCACTCCCAGCACTTGAAAGGGACTTGGCAAAGCCAATACAAACACAGGAAGCCACGGAAGAGCAACAACAAGCAACACACTATACAGGGCAAGTGCAGAAATGCTGAGGAGCAGCTGGGGCCCAAGAGAGGGTGGAACCCAAGCAGGAGGGCATGGCGGAGCCTCAGACCTGACCCTCATCTGCTCAGGAAGTGGGTGCATTTTCCCCCGTGGGATGCAGCAACTGAAACACTGTCATTTAGATTCAAACTCCAGCACACAGGGGCCTGGTCCCTGCTAGGCATTTGCTTGTACTTCATCCACTGCGGGAGAAGGCCAGACTGGGGCAAAGTCCTGGGGGTCCCCATTGGGTCCCTGCTGGCTGTACGCATGTGGCCCTAGTGAGGCTGCCTGGGAGATGTTGGCAAATAGATCAAGAGGGCAGGTTTTCACAAAGCTGCCCCTATACATCAGCAAAGCCCGGGTTTTCCACAGTGAGGCTGGGCAAGGCTGAGTCAACCCCCACCTCACCCCGGCCCCAGCCCCAGAGTGGAAAAGAGCCTCAGTAGACTCGCCCTCATGCTTCCTGTCCCTCTGTCAAAGCTCTGCCTCCAGTTCTTGAGCTGGCTCTGCCCTCCTGCCCCAGCCCTGTGCTCAGTTTCCTGCCTGCTTCCTTCCCCGCACAGCTGGACTCATCTCCAGAGATGGGGAAGGCGGACCCTCTCAGGCTGCTCTCCTGGCCCTCCCCATCTTGTCTGGAGTCTCACACTGAGACTCAGCCCTGCCCTCACTCCCCAGATGTGCCGGCTGTACAGAGGACAGCAGCTCTTGCTTTCCTTCAATCATGAAAGAAGCTGTTTTGGACTTTGCCCCAACCTGTGCAAGCCCCCTTCACCTACACTTTCTCACTTCGTCCTTGCAACAGCCCTGCCATGTATTATGTCCATTGTACAGGTGAGAAAACCAAGGCTCGGAAAGGCTTGTTAACTTGTCCAAGGCCACACAGCTGGCCACTGATGATGGTGACTAACATACAGTGAGCACTTCCTGTAGAACCACGCAGTCTGCTAAGGGCTTCGCCCTTCAGAGGTGCGGGCTATTTTGATTCCCATTTTATCAGTGAGGGAACTGCAGCACAGAGAGGTTAAATAACTTGTTGGAGGTCAAACAGCTTGTAAGGGGCAAAGCTGGGATTTGAACCCAGATAGTCTGACTCTGGAGTCCCTGCTCTGAGCCGCCATCCTTTATTGCTTCTTATATTAATATTTACTTGCTATGCTGACGAACCTGGGGTTAAAAACCAGGGTTGTCATCATTTCCACTCAACTCACCTACTTCGGTATTTTTATCAGGGCAGAATGAGAAATGATGATCTTGTATTTTGTTTTTAGAAGCTTATGTGATGCTTTAAGTCACATAAAACCCCCAGCTTTGTTGAATGACAGGATTTCAAAACCAAAAATACACACACACACACACACACACACACACACACACACACCCTGCTATTCTTCCATAACCAACGTTTCTGAACTCGAACTCTCCCATGTATTGTCGCCTCATTCACTGCAGTCCTTCGTTCCAGCCTGTGAAGGATCTCTTGGTAGTTCTGACCCAGCCCGCTAAGTCAGCCTAGCTAAGTCACGCAGCTGGTTGGAGCTGGACATTTGGTAAGAAGGTAATATTATTTGAAAAAAAGGAAGAGGAAGAGGAGGAGGAAAGGAAGGGAATAGGTATACTATTTAATACCTACAGTGCGCAGGGCTAAGTACTTGACTCTCATTCTCTCTTTTAATCCTCACAACCATCGTAAAAAGTGGGTGCTACCATCACCTGCACTTTACAAATACAGAAAGTGGGAGCAGAGGGAAGGAGAAGCGAACTGTGTCTTCTGCCACTGAGTTTATAGGAAGGGCCAGCCCAGGGCCCTCCATCCCTCGCTGCACATTTGCTAAGTTCCTGCTCTGTACCAGGCCCAGTGCTGAGCACGGAGATCAGAGAAATGGGACCCCGTCCTACCCGTGAGAATCCCACAGTCCCCACAGGGGGTCAGCCTGCTCCACACTCCTCAAATGCACGACCACTCAGTCCACATCTTCTAGAAAGACTGAGTCAGAAAACCAGTGTCCAGTTTGGTTACTTGGCTGGGAAGATGCCTTCAAGCAGGAAAAAAAAAATAGCAATATCAAAAATTAATGTTTAATTAAAAATTAAAATGTTCTATTTCCCAGCTGTTAATTATCAAATTCCAGTGGCAATTCCAACATGTCAGCAACCTTGACTAAGAAGCCAGACGGCAGTCTGAAAAAGCAGGTGGTGGGGACGAAGGGGTGGGGGCGGAGGATGAGATAGAGATCGGCTTCCTGCATGAACCTCTGCTCAAAACCCAGAAACCACTCCCCCCAAAAAGTGACAGAAAGCAGGCTGCACACGTGTAACGGCTAGCTGTTGCCAGTGTCAACTGCCAGAGATGTCCCAGGTCACCACAATGGGGCTCTAAAAGGAGGAGAAAGTGCCAGGAAAGACTTGAAGCTGCCCAAATGCCTTCCTTCCAAGCAAGACACCTACCGTGTTATGCTGGTCTGTGCAGCTCCACCAGCACAGGCCAAAGGCTTCCCACAAAATAAAAGGGCCTCCAGAACCAAAACACACACCTACCTAGGTTATTGGTGGCTTTTTAATTTTATGTACTTATTTATGGGTACATTGTGGTCCCCAAGGATTGGGTAGAGGAAGTGTTAAAATTCTGTGAGTCAGGGGCCAGCCCAGTGGCACAGCAGTTGAGTGTGCACATTCGGCTTCGGGCAGCCTGGGGTTTGCCGGTTCGGATCCCGGGTGCAGACATGGCACTGCTTGGCAAGCCATACTGTGGTAGGCATCCCACATATAAAGTGGAGGAAGATGGGCATCGACGTTAGCTCAGGGCCAGTCTTCCTCAGCAAAAAAGAGGAGGATTGGCAGCAGATCTTAGCTCAGGGCTGATCTTCCTCAAAATAAAATAAAATAAAATTCTGTGATTCATGCAGCAGGTCAAAAATGATGTGGAATACATACAATGCTGTCTGATGTGGAATACAATAAAGACGTGGAATAGAATATTTACTGAACTCCTTCTGAGCAGCAGCATGCTAGACAGTGATCCAGCAAAGAGCTGATGACAACATGAACAAGGGTGGTGGCTGTGGAATGAAGAGAAGGTGATAATGTGGGGAGAATCTTGGAGGAAGAGTGAACAGAACATGTTAATGAATTAGACTGTGGGGTGGATGGAGGAAAAGGATGAATCAGAGACGTCTCCCAGGCTCTGCCTTGAAAAGAGAAAGGAGAAGAACAAGAGTGGGGTGGAATGGAATCCATTTGGGTCATGTGAGACATGCAGAGATGTCAACCAGGCAGTTAGATACAAGTCAGGGCTGTGAGGAAATCTTTGGGCTAAAGATACAAATGTGGATGGTATCTAATACAATGGAAATGGATGAGAGCACATTGGAAGATGGTGTATAAAGAAAAGAGATGAGGATACTGGACTTAACCTCTGCAAACTCTAATATTTGATGGCTGGGAAGAGGGAGAGATACCTATCAAGGAGACCGAGAAGAGAGAATGGAAAAGTGGAAAGAAAATTCAGAGGATTTGGTGTTATAGAAGCTAAGGGATCTTGAGGTGGAAATGTGACACGATATACTGTAAAATGTTTTAGGTGGTTTACAAGAAAGGATACATTTATATAAATATATTTATTTGTTCATTCAATCATTTATCTAATCATTCATCTATGCAGGAAATATACTTTGGTGCCCTGAGAAGGTTTAGATTTGGTGCCGCTACAAACCAATATTCTTTAAATACCTGGTCACCATTTGTTTGGGGGAGAAGCTGAACCATGCATGAGGGAGAGTGGAGAAAGTGACAGCTGGTGGCTGTGATCTTTCTTCTCTGTCTCCAGTAATTCAGCCCTGGCCCCACCTCCTAAGTCCCTCTCAGCAAAGCACAAGTGTCACAGTAAAAGTGGGCCACCCTTCTTAGAAGGGAGCTTAGTGGAGAGGTGTCAAGATGGCGGCATAGGCAGACTCTGAACACACCTCCTCCCACAGACACAACAAATTTACAACTATTCTGGAAATAATTACCCCTGAGAGAGAACTGAAAACTGTATAAAAAGAACCCCCACAACAAGGGACAGTCCTGACTGAAGTGGAAGAGGCAGAAATTCCTTTCTGTAGAGAAAAAAAAAGCCACCTTCACAAGCCACAGTGCTTCACATCTGGCCGGGAGCAATCTTACAATATGCAGCATTCCCTGGAGGAGCAGGGGACCTGAGCAGGGCAGTGTTA